ATTGATCATTTGTTTCACATTTTAGAATTTGTGTTTTTTATCAAACAATTCAATTTCTGACTACCAATAACGATGTTTATGAAAATTAAAATCAATTATGACTATTTATTTCAGACTATTTTACAATTATCATTTCGAGTAAATTCTAATTTAAGCGCTTTTCTGGGAATGATTTTTTTTTTTTTAATAAAATAAGAAATCCCTTCGCTGGAATTCAGTTCATAAAAATTTTAACAACCATTTGCAAGCATTAATGCATTATAAAAGATGAAGTTTTTCTCTCTCTCTCTCTCTCTCTCTCTCTCTTTAATGGACATCATTTTCATGATTAAAACGTCAAGGATGCCTGAGCTTTTTGGTTACTTTTAAAAGCTTGATTAACCCTTTTCATATCATTTCATCGTGAATGGAAGAACTATCAACTATTTAGTCTAAGGAACTAACATTAATTCCATGTGCTACTGAAAAAATTAAGACGTTCGATATGTTTCAAATCCTATAATTTTCAGTGATTCTAGGAATTGTTAATTGTTTTGGGAAATTTTGAGGGTCACAAAATGTTGCATTGTTTTCGATTTCAAAGAATATTTATTCATAGTCTTGAAAGCAGAAGTAGAATCTTCGTAAAGATTTTTCAATGAAGGACAACGTTTTTTAACATGCATTCATTTAAAAATGCGTAAATTGAAGTTAGTTGGTTGGATAAGAAATTTCGGTTTAAATTTAGATTTTTTTTCACGGAGACCTGAGTGTTTTTTGTATCATTTTTTTATTTAAAATTGCTTTTTTATCAATTTTTTTCTCAGTCAAACTGAAAAAAAAGTATTGAACTTATTTTCATCTTCTGTTCTTCCTTATGATTTATTTATGAGATATTTAACTTTTTTTCTCATCTTCTACATTCATCTGAAAATTCGCACTGTTTTCAAGAGTTTTTAGCTTTTCAGTGTAATCTTTTTCACTTTTAGGAGTGAATTTGTTGCAGAATTTTTAGAGACAAATTCTGATGCTTTCTGTCTTTTTCTGATAGTCTATTTGATATAAAAGACTGATTCTTTGAAATAATTCAAGGAAAAGGCAATTGTGTATGGATTTTCTTCTGCTCACTTTTTGACATAGAAAGAAAAAATAATCTTTAAAGAGATTGTTTGAAATTTGAAAGAAATGTTTTTCCCTTTCAAGAAATTCTCTCCTAATTGCAGTTGTTTTCCATTATTCCACTGCAGCTTATTCATTCGCTATAAATGAATTTCGATCAAATTGTGATGAAATTTGTTTTTATCGAGAAATGTTATTCAAATATTAGCAGGAGACGAGAGAAGGAAAGAGAGTAAAAAAAAGAGATGAAGCAAAATTGATACAGATTATTTGTTTATTTTCAATAAACCAAATAATTATCCAAGAAAATGCGCACTGTGATTAATGAAGTATTTACAATATAACCAAAGCTTGGTTTATTCACTTTTAAATTTAATTCAAATAAAACCCTTTCAGTTCAGTTCAAGTCAAATATTTTATATGCTTGGCTATTAACAATCTATTACAAACATAAAAATTATCAACATGTCATTTTAAATGATAAAATGGAATTTAAATTCGCCACTTTCAGAGTCTTTCATTTAAGTCTCAAAATTAATGCATTCGTAAATTTTCATTTACTTAAGTACTATACAAATGCTCAATCAGATTCGATTTATATGAGCGATGTCAGTCACTCAGTACAATGACTTTTGTCTAAAATTAAATGATTTTTCAAGACAAATTGTCTTCCTGATTTACTTGAAATCTAAATGAGAATAAAAATTTGCTCAATTTCTGCTTCTAACTAATATATCATTGTCATTTGCATATTGAAAAAATCGCGATAGTAACTTTTACCGTAAGTTCACAGATATTGGCTCTGCTTTAAAATTCACTATTTTAAAGTAATGGATGCAAAATGAAATGAACTAGTATTGAAATGTTACACTGTTCATTCAAATGGCTACTATATATCTGACTGTTAGTTTAGTAATTTCAAATATCGAAAAAAAATTGTTGGCTTTTTCAAACAAAATGAAAAAAAATGGTGAAATTCCTCCGGATGAATAATTCAATACCAATTTTTATTTTCTTTGGTTTCAAATTTCATTTTAACTAAAAACTTAAATTTCAACATTTGCTTCCTTGAATTTTTTTTTTGGAAGAACTGGGATTATCTTTTTATTTATTTATTTTTTTTTTTTATTCCTGCTTTTTCTATGTTCTTTTACAATTGCATTGCTTTATCACTTATTTCCTACTTTGACGATAATAGCATTTCAATATGCAAATATTGCTGAAAGTTTTAGGAAAGTGTTAGAAAAAATAGTTCTAAAAAGTGAATTTATTGCAAACTTCCACTTTTGTCGAAGTTGTCCCTTCTAGTAAATATTGTCTAAAGTTGAGAAACTTCAAACAAGAGCGCTCATGAGCGACAACTGAGCCACAAAATCGAACGATGAAAAGAGAATGGGAATGAAAACGGTAATCATCTCTCAAAATTTATTTAGATATCAAAGATGGCGTTGAATTAATATTTTCGAAATACATGTAAGATTGAACTGATTCATTTAACACTATAAGATGAATGACTCATTTCGGTAACAAGGATTTAAAAACAGTAATAACGGAAAGGTAAAAGAATATGGTAAGTAAGAGATAGTAGAATAAATTAAGAATAAATGGATTTTTGGCTGCGGAAAAAAAAAAGTCAAAATATAAATGACCGACTAAAAAATGAAACTATTTAATTAGAATGGTAGATGAAGGAATAGTTCCAATTTAAAGAAAATTAATAAATTAGAGCAAAAATACAGAATTGAATCGCATGTTCATTAAATTAATTTATTGAATAATGCTTATTGTAATATAGAAATGCTTTATATAAAGAGAATTATTCTCAAAGAAATAAAATTCAATAAACTATCAATTAATAGCTATTAAAAGACAAAAATTGCTTAATGACATGAACTGATTGTATAGAAAGCACAACAATTTATATTCACACAAATATAAAACAATTGAAAAGGCGTTATTGCTATTTTGTGCAAAGACGACATTTCGCATCCTTACTGTTTAATTAATCTATTTCTCACTTTTTGTTTTTTTTATGACTTTGAAACAATTTCCTGAGGTGACTCTTTTATTAACCTTCACTACCCATATTGTCATTAGATCGGTAGACTAGAAAAACATTTTGCTAGCTGACATTTCCTTTATACCTTAGGCCATTAACAATTCTTGTTTCGTTCTCCATTATCGCTAGGCTACGTAATATTTTGTTGTAATAATAATTGAAGTTGGTAGTGTTAATATGGATTTCGATAATAACAATATTAATATTAGTGGTAAAGATAGACATTTAAAGATCTGTCTGTCCACTCGTCTAAATTCAATTTGTTTCTCTCACTTCCATTCCTCCACTGTAATCAATACGCCACCGAGTTTCTCTTTACACTTTTTTGCTTACATATATGTGCCGTTTCTGTCCCAATGTTTATTTTTACATGCATAAATGTATATAAATATATATAATAAGTATGGTGACAGCAGATGACAACAACAAATCAAAATTCGAAAATTATACGAATGGGTTATTGTTGATTGGAAATTATTGCAGTTTTCAAGTTCTAGGATCACTTCATTTTAAGAAATAAATTGTTAATTATTAATGATTCATTGATATGCTTGATCACTGTTCTTCATAACTCGTCAGATGGCAGTTGTTGAATTGCTTTAATTTGTCTTTTCATCTGATCCTGAAATGAACCTGAAGTGATGTTTATAACAAAAAATGATGGGAAGAGTATTTTGAATAGCATATTTCGTTACTAATGAAATAGCATAGCAATTAAATGAAAAAGCCAACAGTGTAGAAAAAATTTTAGAAAGAGAACGTCAATCATTAGGTTCCCATTTACGTAAGTAACTGCACTCATGGATGTTTTATAATTAAACACCAATTAGCATTGAATATTTTAGACTTATTTGGCTTAATATCAAGCATATTTTTATAAATGATATCTCCTCCTATGTATTTTGAAGAAATAGCTTTCATCTTTTGTTAATAATTATTATCAATTGAGTAAATATTATGGTTCATTATTTGTGTCAGATTATTATGATTGCGATTTAAAAAGTAAAGCAGAAGTATTTTCATTCACGAATATACTGCCCATATCGCAGGGGAAATCAAGTATCTCATTTTTGGTTAGAAATAATTTTTATTCTGTCAAATTTTTTGTTTAATTGATTTGTGAAATATCTGTTATTATTTTTCTTTCACTCATCAAATGCATTTCTTATCTTTTAAATCATTTCAGGAATACATATTGGTGTGCTTTTTTTTCGCTTTTACTCTTACGTACAAGGTAAAAGATACCAATACCAACGAAATGGGCAGACAGAGAAGTGAATAACTCGTAATGAAAATTTTTTTAGTACGGCTCTTCAGGAATAAAAAATGCTTATGAAAACTTTTAAAGCATAAAGTACTTTGATTATAGTTTTTGCTTTCTTATTTTTTAATTTTTAATTTAATGCACTTTATAGTGAAAATATTTAGAATACCATCGAAACTTCTGCTGCAACCATTTGCAAACTTCAACAGTTTAAAAATTTAATTAAAAAATGTAGCTAAGTAATGGCTTGCTTTATGATACAGTACCAGTCATGTCATTAGCATCATTTCAACAATTTTAATAAGGAAAAAATTTTCCAATGATATGACTTATCTAAATACAACTGGGAATTAGATATTTTCTCTGGAAGAAATTCATGATGGGAATTGATATAGAGGAAGGTATTCCTTTCATCTCTTCAATATTTCGTCCCTCAAAGTTTAATTAAATTTCTCCATGCTTTACTAAAAGGATTTCCTTAGAATACTTCAATCATTGAAAATTAGAAATTCTAAAAGGAATTTCGTTTAACTTCGTTAAGAATTAGAACTTTTTTAGCGCTAGAAAGTTTGAAGCAATATGAACAAAATCAATATTTCATTTCAATCTGGCGTGTTCAAAGAAATAATTGCTGTAAGAAATGAGAAAATTTCATTAAAAGAGCTTCGTGAGTTAGCGACAAAATTCATCCAAAAAATTGTTAGTTCTTGCTTTATTAGATTTCATTGAAAGTTTGCAACGAAATAATGTTGTACTGGTCACTTATGATATTGTAATTACATTTCTTTCCAAGGTAGTAAGTGTCCAGTGAAAATGGACTAATGTTATATTCAGAATACTAAATAGCAATCATATTGAAAAGACCGTATCTTTTGCTTTGTGTCGTCACTTTTTTAAATCTCAAATTGGAGTTCTAATTGACTGAAGAAATAGATCTTCAAATATCAGATTTCAATAGATTGTTTTGTTGATTGCAAGTTTTAACACAAAAAGCCAGTACACATATCTTATGTACATTTAGTCTTTTTAAAAAAAAGGTTTTTTTTATTCTGTTAATCTATTTAATAGTTTTTTTAAACATTTTTTTCTATTTTATCCTCTTTTTTCATTGAATTTTCACTATTTCATTCTCTTTTTTTTCTTTGAATTTCAGCATTCAAAGTGTGGTTTTAACAATGTGTTATCCGAACATTTGTTGCTATACATCCATGATATCAATACTGCCAATATTCTGCGGTTGATCACTACAAATGATAATATTTACGATGGAATGCTAATTGAAGTCGTAATTGCTTGTAAGTTTCATATAATTGTTGTTGAAGATTATAATAAAGATTTCCGCACTTTGGTGTGTAATTTAATTCGTCTGACTTGCAATTTTCTGTTCAAGGAGTTTTTGTTGCAAATTCAGAGAAATTTGAAAACATTTGGCTATTTTGTAAGCACGTAGTATTTTAATTGCTAATTTAAGCTTGTACTAAAGTAAGATTAAGTTGCATGGACGAATAATGTGAAATTTTCTACACTTTGCATCATACAACTTTTATTTAGATATGAGAAAAACTTAATGAAAATGATGCAATACATGGGTAGATAATAAATACTGCTAACTTTAACATATTAATTTGCTTTTTAAATAACAAATTTCAAAAGTCCTTTTTTTTAATTTCCATCAAAGTTCATTTCAACAATGAGTGAGGGTGAGCATGCAAGACATAATTTCAATTTTTGAAATAATACATTATTTCATCCTTTGTCAACCAATTATTTTCTATTTCGAATAGTCATTCAGTATTACTGATAAAATTACAACAGTTAGAATGATAAGTGAGCTTTCTCAATAAATCCGTGCCAATATTCTGTCCTTAACACCTCATTTTACTCGGTGTTTAACCTTTTCAATCAACTTCACCTTGATATTATGTCACATTTGCTGTTTCACATAATCACTTAATATTACTACCAAAAATGTCACTTTGTTTACTATCAACTTAAATTTCACGCTTTATTGCCACAATAATATTTCAGATGACAAAAAAAAGAAGCCAGCTTATTTAACAATTTATTCAATAGATATTGTCGTTCTGCAAAGTTCTAAATTTTACATAAAATTCATGGAAACAACTCTTTTTTCTTGTTCTCCGATTACTTTTCAAGCTTCTTTACTATTTCACCTATACTTCTGCTTGCCAAAGACGATGAAAAGCGATAATTCTGAATTTTTCAACTTTTCTTTTTCAAGACGAGTTAAATAAAATGAATGTGAAAGTTAAATAAAATAACATTGTTTAATGTAAACTTAATGTCATTATAGTGTCATTATGTCCTCTCTTAAATAAAAAACAAAAAGTGTGTCATCTTTTCTCCTAAGCAAAAATAATTTTCTAAGCAAAACTCTCATTTCTTCCCTATATTTATTTGTTATGTGTAAGAATACTTTTTAAAAATAAATCATTAATTTTTGTAATCATACTGTTTCACCAGAAAGTTAAGAAATAAAACAAATGATAAAAAAATGACAAGGATAATGATAATAATTTTAATTTAGTATCATTACCTGAATTCTAACTTCTATACATTTACGTAGGAAGTATTGCGCCTAATAATAATGATTAGACGTCAATTGCTCGTTAAGAATGCAAAACTCAAAAGGAAATAAGTAAAAATTAGTCTGATGAAGTAGTTGAAAAGAATATTTGGTATAACAATAACATTAGACAAGCAACTTACCATTGGTCATTTTTGACCACTGACCATGTATGTTTGAATGATATCATATTACTTTTATGGAAATGACAAATTCTGAAAAACGCTAAAAAATACCTAAAAAATTTTCAGTTCTTAACATATCTGCTGCTTGCAAATTGTATTCCAATAATCTCAAAGCCATTAATTCATTATTCATTTACCTGTCAAAATTAAAAATAAAAATGGATATCATTTTGAAAAGCCTATATTATCTACATTACTTTTATCACCACTTTTCCAGAACTGATTAATTAGCTTATTATTAAAAAACACAAATTGCAATATAGTAATTAATAACTGATAAGTATCAGCTTGATAATTATATATATTTGTTGCATCCTTCCAACTTTTTACTAAATCATTTTCAGCTCGTTCCTCTTATCAGCATTTCATGATGTACCACCATGTGCTATCTGTGCATAGTTACAAATCGCCAACATTTTGCGATTTTTGCGGTGAAATGTTGTTTGGACTAATGAAACAAGGCTTGAAATGTCGAGGTTTTTATGCCAACAAAATTTTATTTCATCAATGTAACTTTACTGATAAATAACGGATCAAAGAGATTTAATGGATGATGGATTGATTGAATGTGGCAATCATTAGATAAGAATTTCAGGTTGTAAATTGAATTATCACAAACGATGTGCTTCCAAAATTCCAAATAACTGTAATGGCTATAAACAGCAATTGTCACAATCTCATCTTCTGTCACTGGAAGATTCTACTAATAAGGTTGTTCCTTATCAAAGTAATCCAACTATTTTTTTCAGAAAATTTGTAATCATCCAAAAGATTTGTTGACGACATTCCCATAAGCTTACTTTAATCTAAAGCTATTTTTGATATTTAAAACAGTTTTTATGCTAATTTTGTTAAAGCAGCAAATAAATCCGCAAAAATTTTCCGTTCTAAGTATTTACAAAATAGATTACAATTTTTTGTCAAAGAAATTGTCATGCTACCTCTTCCTTTTTTACTGAAAAAGAAAATTAGCATAATCAATTAAAAACCAGTAAACTATTTTGCAAAGTCCAATGATCAGCTGTTCAGGTCAAATTTATTATTCAGGTGTCACCAGACATATCAATAACAACTGCAAATGACATCAGTTGCTGCAGTCGACCAACTTCTCCAATTAGTCAAAATGTTTGTTTCTTTTAGACGTTATCACTTCTATCATATCGCTCAACAAATAAGGTATACTACCATAGTTATTGGCAAATATAAGTGACTTTGATTTCATGGAAAATCTGATTAACTCAGATGTCTCATCTACTGACATTATATTTGTGATGTATCTCTCCTTTATTTATGGACATTTAACTGAAAAGGAAAAATTCTCATATGCGACTTTTCCTGTTATCGAGATCAAGTAGTTATCAATCAGTCATTCATAGTTTAAACTGAAACGAAAGAGAATGATTCTCATGAAAACTTAATGTTTTATTCTGATTACCGTTATGCTTTTCTCCTTTGTTTCTAATTTCCAACTTCCATCACTCAATTTTTCAACTTGAATTCATTTCGTTCATTTTTAACTGTCTCAAGAATTTGATTTGATTTTTAGCTGAATATTTAAATCTAAGGGATTTTTTCAGATTTCTATTCACTGTAAAATGCTATCTAATTTGCTTATTCTAGAAAATGATTAAAGAATATAATCCTTGAGATGTTGTGATAGAATATTCTAAGGGTAAATTTATAAAAGAATAAGAATGGGTGTTAATTCATCTACGCATCTGTAAAGCTATCAAAATATCTCGGATCAATCCTTTTCAACATTTTTTTTTTATTATCGATCATTTGATCTCTACGACTTGTGAACAGTAATAACATGAATTATCAGTAATATAATATTTCATTCTTGATGAGTGATGGCAAAATTATTATACAATTTATTTGAAAATATGAATTTCGAACAAACACTTTTTAGTTTTTTTCTCTTATTTAGACAACTTGAAATCAATACCAGTACAAATCTGAATAAGAAGATATTTACCTTAATTAACTTCAGTGATTTCTTACACTTAGATGTTTTAATAAACAAAATTAAGGCTTTCTAGTGCACATTATTTGCCATTTATATTTTTAACATAGAAAAAACATTTTATCAGACAAATGAATATGGATATTAGCTGGTAAAATTTTGGTGAATATTTTATCATTTGAAAAGTTCATCATGAAATGAGGCAGGCATTGATGACATAATCTCACATAGTTTGCATTCAATTTTAACTTAGTTTGAAATTATATTTCACAAGTATTTTAATTTTTTTTCCAATTCTGGCAATTTATGTATTTGGAATAAGGTAGTGCAGAAGTCGCTTCATCAAATGATAGCAAATATTTTGGCTGTCTAGAAGTTCAGTTTATTAAGAATTGAGTTACAGAGGGGAAGGTAAGGATGAGAACAAAGTATTTAACGAGATCATCAATAGTCAACAATAATTAAAGATCTATCTGATAAGATTTGATTTAATTTTAGAATAACTATAAAACTGAAATCTAACAGAACTCCATTAATTAATTGAACCTTCTTTGTGCTTAATTTTTTATTTATTTCCTTTCCAACTTAACTTTTTCTTCTTTCAGTTACATAAGAATAACTGTTGTTTATGTATATTATTACCTCTACAGTAACTCAATTTTTTTCCTCAAAATATTTCCGCTTTTCTCTGGATGACACAATTAAATATCGATCAACTGAAAATAGGATGCTTAAGTCAGTTGCTACAATTGTAAGCAATGAGCATTGCTAAAATCTTATTTTTCGATAAATCTTTCATTGGTTACAAGTTCATCGTTTGGCCTTCCAATTATCATTAACGATTTGAACAAACTTTTGAAATGTGCTCATTCATATTTTTTTTTTTGATTTCATTTGACTTTTGGCCTCGCATGTTTGATGAAATATTTAAGTCAAATTTTGCGATGATTATTAATTATAATTTTATTATTGTATTTCTCTTTATAAATAATTAATTTTGCAGTATTTGAATATCTTAACATCCAAAAATTTCTTTTTCCCGAAATTTGCATGTATTACACGAATAGCATTTCAGAACTTTTTACAAGTCTCTCTGCAAGAACGCAGCAGTAGCTGGAGCGGTCGATCTCCTTGGATGAAAATGTCCGAATCTATATGGATTAAAGTTTGTTTGAATCATCCGATAATTAATTCATGAAAATTAGCATATGCTGGAAATTAAGGAATTAATCTTTTCCTGCATGTTTAGATACCACACACATTTCAAGTGCATTCGTACAAGCGACCAACAGTATGTCACTACTGCAAGAGGTTATTGAAAGGTTTAATACGACAAGGATTACAGTGTCGTGGTTTGTTAAATTTGATAGAAAAAATCGAATTCAACTTTAACCAACATTCGATATCAAAAAATAATATAATAGAATCGAAGGATTATTAATATGCAAAACATTACTCTACGTAATCACAGCATAGACGAAATATATATTCATATCAATATTTAATTGAACTGGTTCAAATTAACAGTAGCATTATTCGATCTAGATTTTCATTTATGCTTTAGCTAAGACTAATTAGTTTTATGACTCAGTAGTCTACATAAAAAAAAAAGACGAAATTTAAAGAAATCAAACCTTATTTCAAAAATCCCCTTTTCTCATAATTCATTTTAGATTGCAAATATAATTGTCATAGAAAGTGCATTGAAATGGTTGAAAATAATTGTCACGGTAGTGGTACTATAACGCAGAACACAGAATTTGGAATGCATGATAAAGGTTATAAGTTTGAAAAATTTTAATGCTAAGGAATATCTGTATCAGTAGTATTTTTATAAAATAAATACTCGATAAAACATCTCAAATAAATCTTCTTAGTCCACATTTTTTTAAAAAAAAAACTTTGATTTTCAGAATCTATAAAAGTTAATTTTGGTGGTAGCATGAAGAATCTACGGATGTTCAGTGTTCCATACGATTCAGAAAATCACAGTGATGACAATATATTTCTTTTAAAATTCAAAATTGTCCTCAGATTTTATGATAAAGATTTAGCCGTAACTTCATGTCAGTCGGATCAAATTCATGTCAATCTGAAAAAGTTTATAAACACCGATTGCCCTGCTATTACTTTCAGTCAAAAAAATTTTTATGTGAGGCTGCAAAATTTCCAAATTTCAAATGATGAATTACAGATAAAAGATTGACAGAAGCACTTCAAAATTCTGATAACTCAACGACAACGATAAATTCACATCGTGGTAGGGCTCAAACAAATCCAAGTGCGCCCCTGCAAGCAACTGATATCAAAAATGATGAGCAAGATGTATCACGCAACGATGACCTTCTCACCGATTCACAGGTTTATACTGATTTTACATCCTGATATTAAGGTTTGGAAGCATATCAATTTTCACAAAGTTAACTGGAATCCCGATAACCATCCATCCAATTTTCCGGATTTAGCATTTTTTCAAACCGAATGATCAAATTAAATTACAAATAGGAAATGAATTCAAAGACACCTTTGTTCTTAATCAGACCATTTCATTTCGATGATGAACTGTACTCCTCTTAGCCAAAGACAAGCGATGACTCATCGACCATCGTCAATGACTCATTCCAAGCCTTTAAAAGAACTTTTTTCTCAGTACTCAGGAAGGTGTTCCGATGGATAATAGTGTAGTGTTAACTAACTGTAAAGCTTGAATCTTTCATCATCTGCGCATACCCTTAAATATGTATGTTTATGCTTTCACTCGGCAGCATAAGCTTGTGTGATAACAGATTGAATCTGTTGTCTCTGAGTCGAAATTCTTCAAGAAAAAATTGAATTTAAATATTTTAGCCGAATCCTTTCATTTGATGCTATTGCTAAATACAGCAAACAGATGCTTTGTACTTTAGAATATTCCGTTGATGCGAATTGTCATGTCAAAGAAGCAAACTAAGCCTTATAAGGCCAAAGTATTGCAGGAAGGTTGGATGATGCATTACACCGATCTTCAATGCACGGTCTGTTTCATCTTTCCCATTAACTGATTTCTTCTAAAATATTGGAATCCATTAAAATTGATTGACAGACGGAATCCATTTGGACTAATTGACTAATTTCAATCTTACTTATTTACCTAAATTCCATGAATTATTATTTTTCTTAAACGTTTCTGTTGCAGCGTAAAAAGCATTACTGGCGTTTAGATACAAAAGAAATCATTCTTTACAAAGACGATTCATCGACGAGGTTTTATAAAGTTAATAGTTTGAATTTTATCTTTTAATTTCAAAAAATCGGAAGAAAATTTTGGCTTAATGTTTTAAAGAAATTTAATAAAATTTCTGATTTTTGACTCATATGACTTGTCAGGCTTATTTAATAAAACACATTTTGGACAATTTTGAGAAATTGTAGGAAATTCCGCTAAGTGAAATATTGGATGTGAAGTACACTCCGGATCAAAGTCTTGAAAGTACAGCTCATTTTCTGGAGATTCGAACCCGAAAATTTGCATACTACATGAGTTAGTCAATTTCTTAAGCATTAATAGTACTTTTAATATTGTGAATCAGTGAAAAATAGAATTTTGTGCAGACCTATTTAAATTTTATTTTTTAATTTGAGAAGATAAGAAGAAAATTTTGGAGAAATTTCATAAAATTTCTTATTTTTAAGTTTTTCCAGAAGTTCAATTTCTGAATAAGGTCAAGTCACAATTATTTTTTACATTTTTTTTTCTCATTACCAATGATAACCAAAATATCTCATTGATTTAATTTTCTCTGCGAAGTTTTTTCCTCGCTTCTTACACGTACACTTTTTAATTTTTTTCTGGCTAATGTATAAATTTTGTTTTTCACATATTATTCTCTTACCACTTTGGAAATTAATTTTTTGAAACTCGAAAATTTTTCCTCAAATTTTCTTCGGTTCTTGTTACAAGCAAAATAAATGCCAAATAAGGACGGACACCATTTTTTTTCGTTTTTTTTTTGAATCCTTTTTCTATATGACTTGTTTTCATTTATTTGAAATGTTTTTGAAATAAAAGGTGAGTGATAGTAATAGATGGTTTAAAGCTTACTTATCATTTCCATGAGTTAATGATTAAATATAGAGAGTATAATACCTTCCACAATTTTTTTTAATTGTTTCATTCCTGAAATGTTTTAATGGATTATATTATTTTACTAGTATTAAATGACTTAATTCGATACAACTGTGACATGTGACTTTAACCTTCCCCTTATTTCATATTAGATATCAGAAAATGAACTGGAAGGAATTGTTATATAGTATCTACATTGAGAAAAGATTTATGTTCCATTACATATTTAGTGAATCAAAGACTATTTTTCTGATTAGATAGCTTTCTTTCATTTCAGCGCTTTCTCCAAAATTTTCTCTCACTTTTTATTTATATAAAGAATTTTTAATGATACATTCTTGCTTTATTCCATATGGTAATGTGTCTTTATATACAATTTCTCCAATTTCCAACTTTTTCCACACTAATAACTTATGAATTGAGTGAAATGAAGTGAGCTTTATTGCTGATAATATATTTTCTGATTTAGCTTTTCAAATTATGGAAATGGTACAACGGAAGAAATTATTATACCATTAATTCTCATAATGTTATTCTAGTCATTGATTCGAAGTTTTTTCATGACAAAAATTCTTATAAATAATGTTATAAATCAAACAAAAATTATGTTCTTTAAGGCATTTCTACTTCTCAAATATTGGTGCAGGTGCAAAGATTATTTCTAGTAAACCCATGCAACTCTTACTGACTACTCTGGTCATCTTGCCTTCACATATTTTTGTTATTTTGTAGTCGATTTAAACCAAGGAATATAGTATACTCAGTATTGTGAAAGTTAGAAAGCAATAATATGAGGGAAATTCCGTGATATGTCGGGTAGTGTAGCCCAGTGGTATAAATGCTGAATTCGACTCTTAATGCTATCTATTATTGTACAGAACAAAGAATACTATAAACTTTGGCAGTTAGAAATATTCATATGAAATGACATTGACGTTCCTATTGTTATCACCTTAACGTCGTCGATGTTACATCTACCGAATTCAAAAGAATTGTGCATGTGATTCATGATTAATAAATTCGAAAATAGGAATTGTTTAATTCAATTTCTTTCTATTAACACTTCCAATCATCATCTGACATAACCATTTGACATTCTTTTGCATCGCTCTTTCTCTGCTTCCTTTCATTTTAGCTCTTTTTTCCAAACTTTTTTCTGAGTTTTCATTTTTGTAAAGAATGTTTGATGAAGCATTCTTGCTGTATATAGGTCAAATCAAAAATGACGCCTTTTTCCCTTTTTTGTCATAACTAAAAGACCAAAATATTTGTAAAAAACCGCTGCTTCTTTAAATGCGCTACGTTGTACTGTTGAACCATTTAATCTGTTCCATCAAATTTTTTATATAAATAATCATTTATTTAAACACTAATAGAAAATAATGAAAGCACTTTTAAAAGTCGTAAGAATCACTTTTATTTGAATTCATTTGAAATTTCTTTCTTATAACAAAAGATTTCCTAATTGCATGAAATTTTTTTTTTAATTTTCATATCACCACATAACTAAGTGACGATTTAGACTTGTAACATTTAAATTCATTTAAAGAAGTTTGAAATTTCCGGTTGTTTTATTATTATTTTGACTTATGATAATAAGATTGTTTAGCGAGAGCTAAAAGAGTTCATTCCTAAATCTTTTAAAAGTTGATCCCCTCAATTCATTCATTTCGATATGAAAAAAGCATATCTGTCAATTTCCGCTCTAAAACACAAATGTAATGGATCGTTTAGCACATTTTTCATTTATCGTTCATTTGTTACTCTTTTTGGATCTCTCTTTTTCAGCAAATGGTCCAAATTATTTGGCTTACATCGTTTCACATACTTTTTCTACCGATGATTCATCATTTTTCAGACAATTTTTTCTTTCAGTATTGTTGAATGTTTTCATTTCAATTTCTTCAATATTCCCCAAAAATCATATTATAATTCAATAATGTGGCCTATCTTAGTGTTAAAATTTAATGCATTTTACAAAATTTGAAAAAAAAAAAATTGGAACTAAGGAATAAAGGAATCAGATATTAAGATCAGTTAAATCTATCTTAAAGTGAAAAGGAATGAATGACGAATGAATTCAGTTAATTTTCTTCAAATATATTTATCAGTGCCTTTGTAAATTCCGTTCATAGTAGTTTCAAGATTTTAAAATTTTCCTACTATTTCAATTTTTTGTGATTTAAATTTTTGGTTATTGCTAAAATTTTTCACCAAAACTATTTTAGTTATAAATATAAACTTTATAGTTTTTTTACTATTTTGTTTTTATTTTCCTTAAGAACCAATGCAAAGAGAAATATGCTTGTTGATAGCTGGTTTATTCATTAGATTACGGAATAAAATGGTAATGTGAGCTTCCTTATGGACTGCTATTTCGTATGAATTACCGGAAAAAAGGAAATGACTTCAGGACAGCTTTGTTGTCATAAAAATCGAGAGGGAAGCATATGTAATCATAATTACAAACTATTAGAATCTTCCTTAACTTCTTCCAATAACAGTAATCAACAATTTTATTAACCTTTACTGCCGATTCTTTAGATACCTTCCTAAGTAAAGGAAATAACCATTACTTCATTAGCAGGTGGCCTTTTTTAATTCTGAATCAAACTTTGGTCATTTAATAAATGAATATTTGTAGTTGAATTTTACTGCATGATCCACTTTTGTTCTTTTTTTTTTGCGATCATTCGGATTTAGAAATTTGGTGCGAAATTATTTGGTTAATAAGAGTTTTCTATCCCATCACTAGAAGAAAAACCTATATTTCTAAATTAAAGAGTGTTTTTAAAAAACTGAATTACTAAATTATCATTTGTGCCTTTATCTACCTTTTCTCTCTCTGTATCTCTTTCATTCCCTTTCATCTGATTAATTAAATTAAGGAAAATTTTACTGTTCTACTTCTTCAATATTTATCAGTTTTTATCATTTGATCGGTCATTCCTCAATACTTTGTATTTTCTTAACAGGTATGTTATTTATTGCGAAAAGGTCTTTTTCAATGACTGCAAATCTTCAGCACTCTTTTCTAGAACTTGTTATGCTTAGAGTGAACAAATCTCTGCTATATCCAGAACAATTATCTCTGTGGAAGAGAAATTGAAAGCACAAAATGTTTGCACATACATTTTTTAGTTCAATAGTTTCTGCATAATTGTCTGGAAATTATATGGATGAATGATCTGTCAACTTCCAGTACCTTTATGACTTACAGTTCAGTTACCTGCATGGTTCAGATTAACTGATAGTATAATCAATTGCTGATTATAGTAATAGAAGATAGATTAGATAAAGTGGTAGATAGAAATAGATCAGAACAATAAAAATTCACAATTTAGGGATCAAAATCTACATGTAATCAAAATGATGTAAGAAATATGAAACTATTATGCTTCAGAAGAGTTGCAAATGAATATATTAAAATTTTACCTATATCAAAATTAGGGACTGTTCTAGATTTGTGACATCATATCAATTGCAAACTAATCCTTGTTACAATATTGTTTGTTATATTAGGCACAGAAATTTTATAATGTCACTTTTTGGTTGATGAATAATTCTGATTCAAATATTTATTGTTCTCAATGATTTTGCAGTAAAAATAAAAAATAAAACGTTTTGAATGAAAATTTACAGCAGCAATTGCTGTTATGGTTTTTTTTCTAATTTTCGCTTAAATTAAGTTTTAAAATTGCATGAAATTTTGAAGTTATAAAATCTATGATAGTTTCCTTTGCTTCATAAAATATTTATCTAAAATATCTATGAATGCTTTTACAATTGATTAATATATAACAAAAAATATAAATCTATCGAGGAATTACTGATCAGTGATCGAAAATGGCAAAGAAGGAGAAAAAAGATTCGACATGCTTATGCCCTTGTTTGGGAAGAATAAGTACTTCAGATTGTAATAAGTAATATTCTAGTGGAAATGAAAGCAAACAGCTATAGGGAGAGGAAGAGGGAGAGAGAGATGATAGTTTTCTTTTTTTCTTTTTTCTTAAAAAATCTATTCAGTGGTTTTTGAATATTACATTCAAAATTTGATTAATGATAGTCGGTTGAATAGTACTGACCGCACTATGGACCGAAGATCCGTCACATTCATCTGATATAACAGGTGTCAACGTCATCATTGACCTTACTATATTTCCTTTTCATTTCCATTGAATTTACACTCCTCGCTGGATAACTTTATTTTTTTCTTCAAATTACGTTCATGTTTAATGAAATGTTTTTTTTTTGAAGTTTCATTGATGAAAATTGAACATATTGGAAAATGATATTTTTCAAAATATTTTTTCCAGATCATTTAAGTCTGGAACTTCGAGAACTGCTGCTATACTTCAGTCTATCTAATTTAGTTATTTATAATTTTGAACTGAATAATTTTGAATAGATAAATACGAGT